CAGAATCGGCCAGTATGAACGAGCGCAAAGCCGCCGATCGTTCAGGAACGAAAGATCCACGCGGCGTCAGAGACCACCGCCGAGATCGTCACGACAGGGCCTTGCCGTGCAGATGCCCCCTGCGGAGCCGTAGTGGACGGCGAGCCGCTCAAGAAGGCGAACGTGGGAGGCGTGCCCTCGGAGGGCATGATTCCTTGGCTCACGCCGCACCGGCCGACCTTTGTGGGAGCTCTGGGTGGCACCCTTCCAGTTGGTGTTGTCGTAGAAGCGTGATGGCCCCGTACGCCGCCGCCGCCGCCGACGACGTCGACGACGACGACGACGACGACGACCTCCGCTCCGAGACCCCAAGGGGTCGGCGGATATGCGACGGCGCCATGCTCGGCTGGTCGGGCGGCGGCAAGGGCGCCGCGGCCCTGCTGCCCGACACCTTCGAGGTCGGCGGCCCCCCGCCCGACCAGCGCCCCCGCGGCGACGGCGCCTGACCGCCGCCCTCGGGCCCGCGGGCCCCAGGGCCGTGCACGGGGCCGCGGCGACAAAAGGAAGGGACATCGACTGCACGTCAGAGTGACGCTTCGCCGGAGTGACCTTGTGGTGCGGGCCCACTGGGGCCCCCCGATCGCCGGACGCGAGGCGGCGGTGGCGTCTGGCGCGCTCGTGTTTGGCCCCCCCCCCTCCCGCGGTCCCGAAGAAGCAGCGGTGACGAAGAGAAGGCACAGCACTGCCAGGGGCAACGGGAGGGGGGACAGGCATCAAGCCCCCCCCCCCCGCGGTCCCGAAGAAGCAGCGGTGACGAAGCGAAGGCACATCACTGCCAGGGGCAACGAGAGGGGGGACAGGCCCAAAGGGGGGATGCGCCGACCCCGCGGTCCCGAAGAAGCAGCGGTGACGAAGAGCAGGCGCAGCACTGCCAGGGGCAACGAGAAGGGGGGGACAGGCCTTACGGGGGGGCTGCGCCGACGACCCCCCAATCGCCCATGGATCGCCGGTCCGGGGTCCGGGAGGAGCCCCGCCTCGCCCAGGGAACGTGCGGGTTCACCACCAGGGGCGGCCCGCCATCGCCGAGCCGTCGGCGATGCATCGACGGCTCGTCAGGGGGGGAAAAAACACACACACACAGACACAAGTCATCGTCGACTCCCCAGAAAATATAAGAAAATATGGGAAGTGGGGGGGGGAAGACAGAAGCCCAGAAAGTATGAGAAAATATAGGGGATCCTGTTATTTGTGCGTATTTATTTGTGTGTCCCAGGGCCCCTTCATGCCAGGCCGATGCTTCCCCCACCTTGTGCCAGTCCCCCTCTGTCGCTGCCCCTCGAAACCACTGTTGCGTCGCGCGAGTCCCACCCGAGAGAACACGAGGCGGGCGGGACCCCCTGGAACGCCAGGAAGCGCCCGCGCACATTCGGGCCCGGCGCCCGCGGAGTGCAGGGCAGGGCTGGACCTAAGCGGTGTTTTGGCGATTTTGTGGGCCGTTTTCGTTTCGGCTTTGTTTTGCGGCAAAGGCGGATTGAAGACAAAACGAGGGAAAACGAAAACAAGACGAAAACTAAAGACACCGTTTAGGTTCAGCCCTGATGCAGGGCGTGCGAAGCGGGTCGGGAGCTCTTCTCTTTAAGATCTATTAGCCTCAACCTGTCGGGTAGGGAAAGGGTTCTAACTCAGCACAGGTAGACACAGACATCGAAAGGGCCAGGAACACAAGAAACACACACACACAACGAAACCGATGCCCTTCCTTCCATTTCTCAGAGCCTGGAGTCCCTCGAGGGCCAGCTGACTGCATCTATCCCGTTCTTCTGGTCATGGGTGTGCGTGAGCTGTCACCAGTGCCTAAACCTCTGCGTGAAATAAGGAAGTGGGAGATGAGGTGTACGCAAGTTCCAGTCATTGCCCGAGGTTGGAAATCCATATACCACCGTCATGTGTGCCCACTTCTTTTGTCGTCGGCCCTCGTCGCCATGGCTGGGTCTGCCTTGGAATCTGGGTCGGAACGTCCCCCCCAGCATCTTTTGAAGAACAGCAAGCTTCGCCAAACAAACTTGAGGAGCCCCACTGCGAATTTTCGGAAACTGGAGCACACACATTGCCATTGGCGGGTTGCTTTTCAATCCCAGGACTTTTTGAGGGTCGGGGACGATGTCGGGGTGGTGTGGTGTACACTTGATTCACTGTTTCCCAGGGGAAGCAACAAAACATGTATACACCAGGATCCCGTGTACACCAGGATCCGCTTTTCTGTGCGAGCTTCATTGCAAGGCGTCGGTGTATGGAGTTCGGCTCCTGACATTTCTCTTGGGTCGGCGCTTCGTCTCCCCCTGGCGGCGCCCTCGGCGCCGCCTCTCTGGCGCGCTCCGCACGCCAAAGGAGCGGAGGGCCCAGAGGCCGACTCAGGAAGTCCGCGCGGACCTCCGAGATAACTCACGGCTGGACCGAGGTGTGCGATCGAGGTTGGTTCGGGGAGGGTGTCTTGATGTCGTCGTTGTCTTATTCGTTGTTTTGCCGATCGGCGCGGGCCCTCGCACCCCCCCCATCTTGTCGAACCGAGTCCTGATCTTGTCGTGCCGCCGTATCGAGTGCTGCCGTACAGAAGCTGCCTTTGAGCCTTACTCAGCTGCCAAACGGGGCCCCAGCCCTGGAAAGGGGGCGACGGAAACAACAGGATGGGCTGGGGCAAGATATTCTTCGTGCTTGTTGGATGTTTTCTGGTGCATCCTGGGGTAGGGCACCCTCGAGTGTTCTCTGGTTTGGTCGGCGGAGGGTCTCGTGTCCTTGAAGGGTGTTTTTCTGTCCCAGGTCCGACCGTATGTTTACAGAGTCTTCCCAGAACATTAAGTCGGATTCCCACGGTGGTCTTTGGCGGCCAGGGTGTACGGTCGAAATCCAATGTGATGCCTCCTCAGGCTCTCCTGGAGGGCCTCCAGGAGCCCTCCTGGGCCGTCTTGGAAGCCTCTTGAGCCGTCTTGGGGCCGTTCGGGAGCCCCTATGCTGTCTTGGGCCGTCCTGCGCCTCTCGGTTGTCTCGGACGGTGTCTTTGGAGCCTCGTCCGCCGTCGTGAGGCCGAACAGGGCGCTGGACAGCAAACTCAGGGGAGGCGGTATTCGAGGGACGCGCGCGACCAGGGGGTGGGTGGCCCCAGAAAGCACCAAGAACCTTCCAGACCACAGGCGGGCATTCTGACACGCCCACTCCGTGCATGCGCGGATGGAAGCCAGTCGGCCACGCGCAGAGGGGTAGGGGGAGGGGGGACGGCTTCTCAGAAGCACCGCTGCTTCTTAGAATGCGCGGGCCTTTGTCTGTAGATGTGAGGCCGGCGTCTTCTAAGTCTAAGGAGGAGCCTCCTTTTGAGAAGCCTTCCCCGGACTTGGGCGTCCAAGGCCCTTGCATCCTTATTCAAGCAGTGGCGAAGCGTCCTGGCTCGCCTATAGCCCTACCAAACAATGTTCTAAGAACCTTTTGTGGTTTCCACGAAATGTTCTTAGAACATTTCTGGTTGGGACTGTCTTGGTTTAACACATCGGGTGAATGTTCTCAGAACACTGTCTTGTTATTGGAACCTTTTCGGGTTCTAATGACATCTCGTGGCAGGACTATAGGACTGCCGGGATGGTCGGTCCCTGCTCAACTCATCGCGCATCCTTACTCTTGCGGGTTGACCGTACCCCCTCCTGCGCGCCGCCAACCCACTCCTCACCACCCACCAAACCACCCCAACCCAACCCGAAGGCTCAGATTTACCCTCGATTTCCAGTGGGGGGGGTCCCCCCAACCCGAAATTCGGGCCTTCGGGTTGGGTTGGGGTGGTCTGGTAGGTAGTCAACTCCGTGCAGGCGCGGACGGGAGCCAGGGCCGGGCAGGGAGCACGGGCAGGCGGAGGAGGGGCGCGGGGGACCAGGCGGAGGGGGGCGGGGGCGCCTCGTGGAGCGCCGCGGCGTCGGAGGCCGAGCGAGTCGCCGCGACGACTCGCGATGCGAGCCTCACGCCGGGCCTGTCCCTCTACAGGGGGGAGACTCCATAATACAACCCTCGTCAGAACTACTCCAGATTTCGTAATAAAGGGAGGGGGGTCTCCTTTCGGGGGGGGGGGTCTCTTCCAGGCTATCTTGGAGGGCCTGGGGGGGGTCTGGGGACGATGTTTTGGAGGGTTCTCCCACGGGGGAGGTCTGAAATGGCTTGTCTTGGAGGGTCCAGACCCCCTCCCTTTTATTACGAAATCTGGAGTAACCTCAACAGTTGCTGGCACGTCATTTCGATTTCGGCGCGCCCCTCCATGTCGACACGCCGCCCCTTCCATGTCGGGGCGAGGGCAAGGATAGTCTGACCCAAGTTGGCTCGAAAGTTTGACGTCGACCGACATTGGAGGGGCGGCGCATGCAAGTACCCCGCACTCATCGACACTCGGCCCCAGATCTTCCGACAAGCAGTTCAACCACGTCAGACATTTTTGAGATTAATTTTGACGAGGGTTGTAGTAATCGAGACAGTCTGGGGATGTTTTTTGTTTGGGCTATTTTTGGGTAGTCTGGAATCTTTTTGACCGTCCGTTCTTTTTTCTCCAGAATCCGCCTGTGGGAGGATATGCCCGACCTGATGCTAATCCTCGACCCCAGCTTTCGAGGAGGGGGTCGGCTACAGAATTGAGCCACCCGAGAATCGATCTGTTCGCCGAGTCTACGAAGAATGCGTAGACTGCCCCGTGGAGCATTCTGTGCAGTCGTCCGTAGCCTCGACGGAGCATCAATGTTGAGGTAAATCAGTTCTGCAGTCGATCCTCGAAAGCCCCCCCCGGGACTTCACAAGCCGCACCGATCGGCGAAGGCCCGCGGGACTTCACAAGCCGCACCGGTCGGCGAGGGCCCGCGGGCCAGGGCAGGACGAGTGCGCTGGTCTTGATGGTGCGCCTCGGGAGTACGCATCGGCGCCCAGGGGGAAGGCCGAAGACCACCAGCGGCCGGGCGAACCCTGTCCAGGCAGCCCGAGTCGGGCCCGAGTACCATCGGATAGAGGTCTGAGATCGAGGCCAGTTCGGGGAGGGTGCCCTCGTGTCCTTCGTGCTTGTTGGCTGTTCTTGTGCATGCTGGGGGACGGTACCCTCGGATGCTTTTCAGTTGCTGTCGCGAAACGACCTCGGCGGCGAGCGAGGGGGAGAAGTGAGAAGGCCTTCCCAGAAGGCGGCGGGCCTTCTCAGAAGCCCTCGCGCCTTCTGAGAGGTTTTTTCTGTCTTCGGGAAAGGCTTAGAAAACTTCTCAGGAGTCCGGGGGACGGCCGAGCCTTCCGAGAAGGCCCGCCCTTCCTCACTTCCCCCCAAGCTCGCCGCCGACAAACAGCATAAGGTTTCTGTTTGTTGTTCAACTTCTAAAACCCCCCACCGGACACGGGAGCGTCCGAACGACTTGGGATGTGAGGGCTGTCCCTGGGAAGGGGTCGGGACCTATGGGGGAACGCGTTGTGGAACAATCACGACGTCGGAGGTATGTGATAGTTTTTACATATTTTTTGCCGATCGGCGCGGGCCCTCGAACCTCCCCCCTCCCCCCTATGGAGTAGATCTTGGCTTCTTTTTGGCGCCTGTCTCGAGCAGGTGGAGTCTCCCTCATCGGACGCACTGCTGCAAACAGTCGCGCTAAGCAGAGGTCTGGAGCCAGACCCCCCCTCCTTCCCTCCTCCCTCCCGTCCGCCCAGTGTCGAAATGCCGAATAGGAAGACGTTTACTACGGGGAGGCCCCTGTTTCTTAGAAGGTGCGGGCCTTCTGTTTAGATGTACGGCCGGCGCCTTCTAAGAAACAGCCTCCTAAGAAGCCTTCCCCCTCCCCCTACCCCCTTGTGCTCGCCGCCAAGTATGGGGAGGATCAAAGGATCGAGACGCCGAATAAGAAAACGTTCGCTATGGGGATGATCCCCGGATGGGGAGGATGGGGAGTAGGTATGGGGAGCCGCAGCGCATACCACGCAAAAATCCACTCCAGATTTTGTGGTATACGCTAAGCCCCGTGGGGCCGGAGGTGGGGTGGTGTCTTTTGTTTCTGGTCCACTGGGGAAGTTCAGACGGGGCTAGGACGAGGATAAATCCGTCCCAGAGCGTTCCGGAACGCTCTCAGAGCGTTCCTGCACGCTCTGAGAAGGCCGCCGCGCCCGAGAGATCTTCCAGAGCCGCCAGATCTCAGAGATTCTCAGTTTATCCTCACCCGATTTTGTCCTCGTCCTGGCTCCGTCTTGGAAGTGGCCCAGACCTCAGCTGGAGGGTTTCTCCGAAGGGCTTAGGCGACCCCTCCTCCTCCTCCTCCTCCTCCTCCTCCTCCTGCTCCTCCTACTCCTCCTCCCCCCCCTCCTCCTCCCCCTCCCCCTCCTCCTCCTCCTCCTCCTCCTCCTCCTCTTCCTCCTCCCCCTCTTCCTCCTCTTCCTCCTCCCCCTCCTCCTTCTCCTCCTCCTCTCCCTCCTCGCCCTCCCCTCCTCGGGTCGCCTACGGCCCTGGGGGAAACCGTCCGACGGCCCTGGTGCCCGGGCACGGCCCTCAGAGGTTGAGGATCGCGGGCACGACGTGATGCCAAGTCGGGCACGTCCCTCTACAGGAGGGGAATTCAAACATAGTCCCATAATAGAATGGGGACCACTTTCCTATTATTTTCTCGCAATGTTTAGATATGTTTGGAGTTTCCTCCCACATCCGCCTGTAGGAGGACATGCCCGACCTAAACATAATAATGCCTCAGGAGGAGAAAGAACCCAGGGACACAAATAGACGTCGACTCCAGGAACATATGGGAAACCATGGGAGGTGGAAGGGAGGACGAGACTCCAGAGAATATGGGAAAAGCGCGCCAGTGGATGACCCTGTAATTGAAAGGGGGGGTGTGCTCGCAGAACCCCCCCTCCCTCCCCCCCTTCAAAGGGGGGGTGAGATTTTCGACCCCCCCCTCCCCCCCTTTGCGCCGAACAGGGGGCCGGGGAGGGGGCCTCTCCCGCAAGGGGGGGGGATCTGGCCTCGGCATAGTGAGTAGTGAGTAGTGAGTACAGACTAGTGAGTAGTGAGTAGTGAGTGGTGAGTAGTAAGTAGTGAGTATTGAGTAGTGAATAGTGAGTTGCGAGTAGATTGTAGCGAGTGGCGAGGAGTGAGCAGTGAGTAGTGAGTAGGGAGTAGTGCGCAGTGAGTGGTGCGTAGTGACTAGTGAGTAGTGAGTAGTGGGTCGTGGGTAGTGGGTAGTGAGTAATGAGTAGCGGATCGGGAGTAGCGAGTAGTGAACAGTGAGTAGCGAGTAGGGCATTGTGAGTAGTGAGTAATGAGGAGGGAGTAGTCAGTAGTGGGTAGTGAGTAGGGAGTAGAGAGTAGCCAGTAGGGAGTAGCGAGTAGTGAATAGTGAGTAGTGAGTAGTGAGTAGTGAGTAATGTGTAGTGGAGAGTGTGTAGTGAGTAGTGAGTAGCGAGTAGGGAGTAGCGAGTAGTGAAGAGCGAGTAGCGAGTAGGCCATTGTGAGTAGTGAGTAGTGAGGAGGGAGTAGTCAGTAGTGAGTAGTGAGTAGGGATAGTAGCGGGTAGGGAGTAGCGAGTAGTGAGTAGTGAGAAGTGAGTAGGGAGTAGTGATTAGTGAGTAGTGAGAAATGGGAAGTGGGCCGTGAGTAAGTAGTGGGTAGTGCGTAGGGAGTAGCAAATAGAGAGTAGTGAGTAGTGAGTCGTGAATAGTGAGTAGTGAGTACTGAGTAGTGAGAAGTTAGTAGTGACGTGTGACTAGTGACTAGTGAGTAGTGAGTAGCGGGTAGGGAGTAGCGAGTAGTGAGTATTCAGTAGTTTGTAGTGCGTAGTGGGTCGTGAATTTTGCGTATCGAGGAGGAGAAGGAGGCGGAGGAGGTGGAGGAGGAGGAGGTGGAGGAGGAGGAGGGAGGAGGAGGAGGAGGAGGAGGATAATGATGATGATGAGGAGGAGGAAGAGGAGGAGGAGGAGGAGGGAGGAGGAGGAGGGAGGAGGAGGAGGAGGAGGAGGAGAGAGAGGAGGAGGAGGAGGGAGGAGGAGAGGAGGAGGAGGAGGAGGAGGAGGAGGAGGAGGAGGAGGAGGAGTAATGCGGAGTAATGCGGGTCAAATGGGTCGCGGTATCCCGAGATATCGCGCCGTGGGTTGTCATGCCGCGGGCCGTCCCCGAGCCGAGCCAGAAAACCAGTGCCCTCGAGGCCGTGCCTCAGAGGGGCTTCTTATCACACGAGCTGATCTTGGCGTTGTAGCTGAGTCAGTACGCTCGTGCCCCCCCCCCCCCCACTGCTGACACGCCTGGCAGTCCTTTTTGCCACTGCCTGTCTTCCCCTTTCTCGCCCGAGTTGATTCCAGCGTTGTAGCTAATCTAGCTCGGGCGCCAGCTTCGCCTCCCACTCCTCGCAGTGTAACGGCGCACAGCTGGTGATATCGGGCTCCATCTTCGTCCCTTTCCTAGCTGATGGCGTTGGGCTTATGCTCCGCCTTCCACCTCTCGGTGAGTCGCGCTAGAGCCTGCTGCCAGTGCCCGCCCTTGTCGTCGTCGCTTTGCACATCGTAGTGGACGACTAAGGCATCGGGCTCCAGCTTCGCCTTCCCCACCTCTAGAGTAGCGCGAAGGAGGGAATAGGTTGGTTGGCTCCAGCTTTGTGCCCTGATCCCAGCGCTGTAGCTGATGACGTCGGGCTCGTGCGTCGCCTTCACCTCTCGCTGCGCAGCGCCAGGGCCTCTTGCCACTGCCTGCTCTTCTCGCACGCGCTGTGCTCAGCGCGGGTCGGAAAGTGACCAACTCGGACTCTGGCTTCGCCTCCGTCATGCTTTGATCCCAGCATTGTAGCTGATGACGTGGGGCTCGTGTCTTCGGCGTCCCTCTCTCGTTGAGGAGCGGCGCCCCCTTGTCGCATGCGCTGTGACCGGCGCTGCCGTCGGGCTCCAACTTCGCCTTTGCCCTCGACGGACCCTGCATCCGCTGCTGTAGCTGAAGGCGTCGGGCTCGTCCTGCATCGTCCCGCAGCGCCAGCGCCTGCTGCCACTGTCGCAGATCGTGGCCCACCTGCACTTTTCTCGCTGCGCCAGCGTCTGCTGCCACTGCGCGCCCTTATCGCACGGGCTGTGGTCGGCGCTGGTCCCTGCTAGATCGGGCTCAATCTTCCCCTCCCACTTCTCGCATTGCCTTCTCGTCTCGCCTGTACAGCGCCTGCTGCCACTGCCCAGGCTTTTACACGCCCCGATGCCCGCACGGTGGCCGATGGCATTGGGCTCCAACTCCAGTGGGTCGCAACGTCCGATCACAATGTCGAACTCCACGGTGGGTGACGCTAGGGCCTGCTGCCACTGCTGCCACTGCTCCTCTGTCTCTCATGTCGTCGTCCCCCTGAACCAGTCGCTGTGGAGGATGCCGTCGGGCTGTGCACTCCTCGAGGTACTCGGAGCGCTCCCTTGGGGGTGTGGTTTGCGTCGACAAGGGGAGGGACGAGCAGGCGAGGACGAGAGCGGAGGAGACGAGAGAATGGTCATCGTGCGCGCTTGCCTCGGAGGGGGCAAGGTTTCAACGCTGTAGCTGAAGCCGCGGGCACTCCCACCTTCTTGATGTCGGCTCGCATCAGCATCGCAATTCCCAAGTTGGCTGCTTCCCCGAGAGGAACTGCTAGGAGGAGGAGGAGGCGGGTGGAGAGGAGGAGGAGGATGGGGGAGACGGCAGGAGATGGAGGCGAGAGGCGGGCAGCGAGATGGAGACGTGCGAGCAGTGCTGCGCCCAGCTCCCCTGGGCTTGTGGAGGACGATCAGTGGAGAGGAAGCGTGTTGCCAAATAAGCTCCAGATGTCTTAAAACATGTGTTGAAACTGTTGAAAGCATGCAGAACAATGTTTCAAACATTTTCAGGACACTTTCCGACCTTTTAAGCACACTTTCAATTCGATGATAGGACTGTTAGGGTGTCCATTGTCGTGGCATCCATAACCCTGGGCGCCAGGAGCTGCTCCCCGCCGAGTTCCTCAAGAGCGCACGCCGGCTCCGCTTCGGCGGTGAGCGCGGCGTCCAGGCCCCCTCGCGCCCTGCGCGCCCCTCGCCGCGCCCCCCTCGCGTGCGCGCGCGCGCGTCGTCGTCGCCGCCGCCGCCGTCGTTGTCGTCGTCGTCGCCGCCGCCGTCGTCGTCGTCGTCGTCGTCGTCGTCGTCGTCGTCGTCGTCGTCGTCGTTGCCGCCGCCGCCGCCGTCGTCGTCGTCGTCGTCGTCGTCGTCGTCGTCGTCGTCGTCGTCGTCGTCGTCGCTGCCGTCGTCGTCGTCGTCGTCGTCGTCGTCATCGTCGTCGTCGTCGTCGTCGTCGTCGTCGTCGTCGTCGAGGAGGGTCGAGGGTCGAGGATCGAGGATCGAGGGTTGATGGTGTAGTGTCGATGGTCGAGTGACGATGGTCGAGGGGTCGATGGTCGAGTGACGATGGTTGAGGGTTTTTGTGGGCGTTTCTCGCCGGTGGGCGCTCTTAGGTTTTGCCGGGGAGCAGCTCCTGGCGGCCGGGAATCATCGAAGCTCGAGGACCCAGACATCCAGGTCGATGATCGAAGGGCGAGCATCGATGTTCGAGGATTTTGGGCGTTCTTGGCTTTTTTGGGCCTCCAGAGCGCTCAGGAGGCTGGAGCTCGATCTGGCGAAGCGCCCCCGGGGTCGTGGGAGGGAGGTCGGGGAGGGAGTGGCACCTTCGTTGGCGGGGTTCCATAGAAGGCGTGACGGTCCCACACTCGAGATCAGTGGACGTCCTGGGGTCTCAGGGTTGGGTTTCTCGTGGCAGGTTTCTTGTGGTCGGGCCCCTGCTGTGTCCGGGAAGCTTCTCGTCGACACGGCTGGGTTCCCGTCGACATTCTGGTCAGAACGCCCCTTGAGGACAGGTCTTGGGGTCTTTGTTGGAGACGGCTTCCGGGGACCGTCTGGACCGTCCTCGGGCACCGGGTGTGCCACAACGCAGTCTAGGACGAGAGACCTGCTCTGGGGAGCAGGCCGAGCGGTCCGGAGGGCTGGCCAGTCGGACAAACAATGGTCGTCGGAGGCTTGGCAGAGGAGGAGGACGAGGAGGCGGAGGAGGAGGAGGAGGAGGAGGCGAATGACTTGGAGGAGGAGGAGGAGGAAGAAGAAGAGGAGGAGGAGGAGGCGGAGGAGGAGGAGGAGGAGGGGGAGAACGGACGCCGCTGGTTCTGGGCATGTCCACGTGCCAGGAGACCATTTCTGTATTGCTTGGGGCATGACGGGCGTCATGGCCCCCGCCCTCCCCCCCCCTATGACGTAACGCTCTCCCCCCAGTGCGCTCCGGGCACTGCCGCCGTGCGCATTGGGATCCGCGTAGGTGTCCGCGTAGGAATCCGCATAGGAGTCTGGTCCGCAGTCGTCGTCGTCGTCGACGTCGTCGTCGTCTTCGTCGTCGTCGTCGTCGCTCGTGGCTCGTGGCTCGTGGCTCGTGGCTCGTCGCTCGTCGCTCATCGTCGTCGTGCGCGCGGACGCGGCTGGAGCCTGTTTTTTTTCTGGCCGATGACGGCAATCATCGCGGGATGTGGGGGGGGTCGATGACGTCACGCTTCGCGCCGGCGGCGCCTGGGAATGCCTAGGAATGACGGAGGACGGGTGGCACCAGCATGTAGGTGGCGATTTGCACCTCAACGCTTGTGTACACTTCAGTGCCTGCGTACACCACAGCGCTTGTGTACACCACACTGCTTATGTACACCACAGCGGCCGCGTGCAACACAGCGTCAGTTTGTGCCACCGCGCGCGCGGGCACAACAGCTCTTGTGAACACTACAGCGCCTGCGTACACCACATCAGCCGTGTGCAACACAGCAGTGTACACCACAATGCCTGCGTGCATTGCAGTGCCTGTGCACACCACGGCGCTTGTGTGCACCACAGCAACCGTGTGCAACACAGCACTACTGTTGTATGTAGAATGTTGGAAGGAATCGTTCTGACAAAATGGAGCGTTTGTGGATTCAACTGGAAACATCAGCAAAATAACCCTTATGGACAAGGGAACGCCAGGGGAATCTACGAGTCCTTCCGAGTTCGCCCGCATCACCGTAACTCTTCCCATCTGCGTGCGGGAGGCTCCACCTAAATTGGCAGTCCGAGAACCACGTGGGCAGATTCAATCGACCATTCTGCGGTGCACGCTGAGTCGCGCACGTGCGCTGTAGCGCCAACCCGCACGACAGGGGTTAAGGAGGAGGAGGAGGAGGAGGAGGAGGAGGAGGAGGAGGAGGAGGAGGAGGAAGAGAAAAAGGAAAAGGAGGAGGAGGTGGAAGTGGAGGAGAAGGGAAGAGGGAACAACGTCGCATTCGATTATTCGCACTTTCCTGGCGTGGCGCTTCCGCAGCAGATCCTCACGTACAGGCTCCGTCTATCTGTCCTATGCACGCAGGCGCTGTGGTGTACAATAGCGCTGCATTGCACGCGGGTGCTGTGGTGTAGACATGCGCTGCTGCTGTGCACAGGCGTCGCGGTGCACGCAAACCTTGTGGTGTAGTTACACAGGCGCTGTGTTACACATGGGTGCCTCCGGTGTGCACATGTACGCCGGCGCTGTAGTGTACGCAAGCATTCCAGTGTACACATGCGCTGCGTTGCACACGGTTGTTGCGATGTGCGCAGGCGTTGTGGTGTACACGCGCGCTGTGGTGCACGCGAGCGTTGTGGTGTGCACAGGCGCAGGGCACCTACATGCTGCTCGCCTCGTCGTCGTCGTCGTCGTCGTCGTCGTCGTCGCTTCTCGCTCGTCGCGTAGTGCGCGCGGGCGCGGCTGTGTGCCAGAGCCACACGGCGGGGGGGGGGCGTCACGTCATACCCCCCCCGCCCCCCCCCCATGACGCCCGTCATCGCCGAACATAAAGAAACGCTCTCCAGCGGGAAGGCCAAAGGTGCCGACCCACTGGCGGACCTCCCAACTAGGAAACGAGGTTGATGCTGTGCGACCTCGCTGCGCCGCCAGATCCATTTCTACCGCCTCGGAGTCGTCCTCTGGGATCTGGAGGGCTCTCGGGGATTGGTGGATATTCAGGGGAGGAAGAGGTACCGATACCGCTGCTAGTTCTGTAGAGCCCTCGTCGCCACGGCTTCATGATATTTGACAATATGATCAGAAAGCAGCTCCAGAGAGGTCAACATGGGGAGTAGCTGTAGTGCAGGATGATGATTCAGAACTTACCGGGGGTCGTGTTCACGCGGCGGCAACTAGGATGATGATTTCATCGGCACGGCGAAAGTTTTGACCCGTTTCATGCTTCCACCAAAACAAATCTGAGGTGAGAGCGCCATTGCGAATTCGAGCTGGAGAAGTGCCGACCTCTATTTTCGAGGAAGTCCTGGGCGGGAGCGACATTTAGAAGTCGAACCAAAAGGGTGTCGAATTCCAGTTTTCAGGAAATCCTGAGCGGGAGCGCCATTTCGAAATCGAATCCGAAAGGCTCCGAACTCATGCTTCGGAGGAAGTCCGGGACGGTAACGCCATTTCGAAATCGAACCAGAACGGTTTCGAACTCTGGTTTGGAGGAAGTCTTGGGCGGGAGCGCCATTTTGAAATCTAAGTCGAAGTTTCGAAATCGTTCGACCTTGTTTTTTGAGGAAGTCTCAAGCGAAACCGTCCTGTCGAAATGGCCACACCGTTTGGCACGTATGTAAAACAGTTATCTGACCAGAGATTGCGACAATGTGGTTTTTGCGTGAGACGTCCTCCAACAAAAGCATCTCGACTGGATTTCGAAACCATCGGGTTCGAATTCGACATGGCTGTTCCGCCCGAGCCTTGAACAACACAATGCTTGAACATAAAGACTGTGCTGGGGCCCCGCGGATGACGTCTCCTCTTGTGTCGCGGGCGCAACGCCACTGACAACATCTTATTGGGGCCCCGTCGCTTGACAGGAGGCGGTGAATGTGGCCGAACTTTCGTAGTGGCGACATGGGGTTTCAAACCGCGCCTGGTTGCTCTGCACACTGCGTTGCGCACGTGTCATTCGGAAGTGATCCGCCCGCCTCTCACTCCTCGGGCATTGCGAATCGATCCGCATGAGCGATGCGACGGCGCAGACGCGCTTAAGCAAAAAACGCGACGACGACGGCGATGCTTCGGTCGGCGAGCGAGCGCGCCACTCTTCATGCCGACCAGATGCAGGGCAACCTGCAGCGGTTTGAAGCCCCAAGTGGGATTTCAATCCGCTTATGGTTGCCCTGCACACTGCGGTGCGCAGGTGCCACTCCGAAACGGTTCGCCGGTTTTTCTCTTTCCTCGGGCAGTGCGCACGGATCTGCACGACTGATACGACGACGCCGGCGTTCCTCAAAGCGCGCGACGACGACGGCGATGCATCCTTCGGCGAGCGATCGCGCCACGTTTCATACCGACCAGGTAACAGGGCAACCAAAAGCGGCTTGAAGTTCCAAGTGTTATATCAAACCGCTTATGGTTGCCCTGCACATTGCGCTGCGCACATGTCACTGGCACTGGTTCGCCCGCCTCACTCGTCGGGCACTACGAATCGCCCTGCACGAACGATGCGACGGCGCCGACGCGCCTCGAAGTGCGCGACGACGACGGCGATGCATCGTTCGGCGAGCGAGCGCGCCACTTTCTAGACCGATCAGATGCAGGGCAACCTGCAGCGGTTTGAAATTCCACACGGGATTTCGAACCGCGTATCGTTGCTCTGCACATTTCGCTGCGCACGTGTCGCTCGGTAGTGATTCGCCCGCCTGTCTTTCCTTGGGCGCTGCGAGTCAATCTGCGTGCACTAGGCGACGACGCCGACGCGCCTCAAAGTGTGCGACGACGATGGCGATGCATCGGTCGGCGAGCGAGCGCGCCATTTTTTCCACACTGAGCAGATGTTGGGCAAGCATAAGCAGTTCGAAATTCCACATTGGAATTTCAGACCGATTATGATTGCCTTTCACTTTGCGCTGCGCACGTGACAATCGGAAGTGGTTCGCCCACCTCCCACTCCTCGGGCGCTGCGGACCGACTTGCATGAACGATTCGACGACGCCGGCGCGCCTCGATGGGCGCGA